TGTACATCTCTGTGTGTGAATGTTTGTCTGTGTGTGTGTGTGTGTACATCTCTGTGTGTGAATGTTTGTCTGTGTGTGTGTGTGTGTGTACATCTCTGTGTGTGTGTGTGTGTGTGTGTGTACCTCTCTGTTTGTGTGTGTGTATGTGTGTGTGTGTGTGTGTGTGTGTATGTGTGTGTGTACATCTCTGTTTGTGTGTGTGTACATCTCTGTGTGTGTGTGTGTGTGTACATCTCTGTGTGTGAATGTTTGTCTGTGTGTGAATGTGTGTACGTGCCTATTTTGTTTAGTTGTGCCCACAGTACTGGCCAGAAAACGGAGTCCATCGCCACGGACCCATCCAGGTGGAGTTCGTCTCCGCTGACTTGGAGGAGGACATCATCAGCAGAATATTTCGGATCTACAACGCAGCACGGGTACGGTGACACAGGAGGGTCAAACTTCAAATAGAGGGGGGGACAGCAAACACTACATTTATGTGATCATGTTTTTTGCTTTACTGCCCATTTTTTGCAACTTTTAGAACTTGTTTTTTCTACTGTGGTGATAACAACAGCCAATTTATTCTGTGTCGGCACACCTCACACGTCCCACGCATTCGCCGGCCTGTCCATTCAAGCTGTGCCGAGGCCGCTGTGCTTTAACTCTGCACTGCTGATTGGACCGAGGTGTGAGCGCTCCAATCACACTCACATGTCTTTTACAGGCTTTGGAAATGTTACACATAGTTAAAAAGGAAGAAGTTGAGTGTTTCGTCAATTAAACACCTCATGGTTGGACAGGGAATCTACCTGAAGGGCTCAGTCAAGCCGAATAACAGAAAAACACATTCACTTACACTTATCCAGACATGTAAATTGGTTGAGTTTTATTTGTCCAAGTTTCGAGATATTGACTCAAATTTTTTAGTTTTTGTTAAACGGCTCAACCTAAAACTTTCCCTACTAAGATTGATCATTAATAGAGTTTTTTTTATCTAAAATTTCACAAGAATACAACAAAAATGATGGAAAAGTAAATAAATCTACCTAAGTTTCCATAAAATTAGGAAATATGTTTCTCTAAAATCCTTTTAATCATCCTGTGACTGCTCTGATGCCACAGATGGCCCACAGATTGGTAGACCTTGCTGTGAACAGTTTTTATTAGAAGTGCTTTCTAAGGAAGTCCCTATGAAAGCTGTAGACAGAGTGTCGACCATCCAGAGCAACAAGCACACTGATTAAGGAAAGACAAGTTGTCAAACAGGCTTTTAGATTTTATTTATTAATCATGTGACCAGCTCACTTTTTATTGGCGTGGAGGAAGAGATCTCGGAGATGCATATGTCGTATCTTCGGCAAATAAAACCAAAACAATCTGCATGGCGAGATTTCACTACGTCTGACCCTTTTAATTTTGAGCTAGCAGACATTTAGTGCACGAAAATCATCCCAGCGTCACCTGCCTAAGCTCCTTACCTCCTCATATGAGTGTGTAATAACAGCGTCTGGTCGGCAGAGGCATTCACCACCATGTTAAGTGCAAAAGCATCTAATCACACATGATCACTGATAAGAGTTATTGATCCATATGTCTGAGTGTGATTTAGAGTGTCTGGAGCTCAGATGTTAACTCTCCGTCTCCAGCTGTGAGTGTTCCCATCTATCAGACCGTCTATCTGCTCTCACATCTCTTCATTGACTCCTCGGGCCCTTATCCATCTCCTGTTGCCACCGAGGCTTAGCTTAGCTGCGTCTTTACAGTCTGATTGCATCTTTGGACGCCAGCGATTAACCCCCACCACGGCCCCCCTATCCTACTTTGTGTTAACCTGGAGTAACCGGCGGTGTGTCCTTCCTTTCAGCCTCAGGACGGATACCGGATGGTGCAGCAGTTCCAGTTCCTGGGCTGGCCCATGTACAGAGACACGCCCATGTCCAAGCGCTCCTTCCTGAAGCTCATCCGACAGGTGGACAAGTGGCAGGAGGAGTACGACGGAGGCGAGGGGCGCACTGTAGTCCACTGCCTGTAAGTTACCACCGCACTCAGAGGGAAGACAGTGCTGCCATTTATGTATTCCACACATGGCAGTTATTTTAAAACCAAACATGTACACTTTACAAAACATGTACACTTATACTGGTTGTTTTTTTCTTTTTTTTTATAGCATAAAGAAGCAGGGAGAAGAAAATCTTATTTTACCTGCCTTTCTTAAAAAAAATTATAAAAACAAAATAATGAAATAACCATAAAAAAGTAAAATAAAAGCAATACTCTTTCAGTCACAGTTGCTTACAAATACTGAAGCATAAAACCAGAACACAATCCAAAGTCAACTTAATACTGTCTAATTACGCTTTCTTTAAATGTTTTTACAGCCCTTTAAATAATTCGGCAAAGAATTCCACTTCTTTACATCATTAAAAATGAAACATCTCCACCTACTGACTGAAGAGCTGCACTGCATCAGAAGCTCTTCTTCAGCCCTCTCAGCTTTAACTTTTCTGTATTGAAATTAAATAAAAAGTGGTTTTCTAATGCTTGGTTCCTTTTTGACAACTTTAGGAACGGAGGCGGTCGAAGTGGGACTTTCTGTGCCATCAGCATTGTGTGTGAGATGCTCCAGCACCAGCGCTCTGTGGATGTTTTCCACGCTGTCAAAACACTGAGGAACAACAAACCCAACATGGTGGACCTGCTGGTAAGGAGCAATGCAACAACACTTCTGTCTGACCTATAAAGAGTGTATTTCAAGTTGGTATTCAAAGAGGGTATTCCAGCGATTATATGTACTCACAAAATACATATTTAAAAAATAAATAAAAAAGACATCCTGACTTTTAGTCCTTGTTATGGGTGAAGATCCATACATACAGTGGGGCAAAAAAGTATTTAGTCAGCCACCAATTGTGCAAGTTCTCCCACTTAAAAAGATGAGAGAGGCCTGTAATGTTCATCCTAGGTATACCTCAACTATGAGAGACAAAATGAGAAGAAAAAATCCAGAAAATCACATTGTCTGATTTCCAAAGAATTTATTTGCAAATTATGGTGGAAAATAAGTATTTGGTCAATAACAAACAAACAAGATTTCTGGCTCTCACAGACCTGTAACTTCTTCTTTAAGAGCCTCCTCTGTCCTCCACTTGTTAACTGTATTAATGGCACCTGTTTGAACTCGTTATCAGTATAAAAGACACCTGTCCACAACCTCAAACAGTCACACTCCAAACTCCACTATGGCCAAGACCAAAGAGCTGTCAAAGGAGACCAGAAACACAATTGTAGACCTGCACCAGGCTGGGAAGACTGAATCTGCAATAGGTAAGCAGCTTGGTGTGAAGAAATCAACTGTGGGAGCAATTATTAGAAAATGGAAGACATACAAGACCACTGATAATCTCCCTCGATCTGGGGCTCCACGCAAGATCTCACCCCGTGGGTCAAAATGATCACAAGAACGGTGAGCAAAAATCCCAGAACCACACGGGGGGACCTAGTCAATGACCTGCAGAGAGCTGGGACCAAAGTAACAAAGTCTACCATCAGTAACACACTACGCCGCCAGGGACTCAAATCCTGCAGTGCCAGACGTGTCCCCCTGCTTAAGCCAGTACATGTCCAGGCCCGTCTGAAGTTTGCTAGAGAGCATTTAGATGATCCAGAAGAGGATTGGGAGA